AGTCTAACTGGTATTGCTATTGCTAATCTCACCGGCTCAAGGTTGACTCAGCCTTCCGTCCTTCCGAGGTGGGTGAAATGAGGACCCGGATTGTTGTTGGGGGCGATATGCTGACTCTGTAAACCGCTTAGAGAGGGCTGAAAGCCCTATGAATCGGTATATAAGTCTAACTGCTATTGCTATTGCTAACTAGTTGCTTTTCTCTGCACTTTTTCCAAACTTCCATTGCATTATCATTGCAACTTTATAAGTGTCACAACCTCCAGAAGGTGTGTTTGTGAGAGAAAGAGAGAGAGAGAGAGGGAGAGAGAGAGAGAAGGATAGGGAGGGAGGGAGGGGGAAGAGATAGATAAGATCATCATTTGTGATCTTCCAACAAGCAAATCGGGGAAGCCTGAATCACTTTAAAAACCTCATGATTCAACAGTGATTTGACTTAGCAGCCATGGCCAAAAAAAAGGTCATAAACTCGGCCGTGACTCGCTTTAACAACCGCCACGCTTAACGACAGAAATTTCACACGCACGCACGCAAAATTGTGGTTAGAAGCCAAGAACCAGCTGTACCTCGTTTCTCCCCCGTTTACAGAAATGCGCCCTCAGTGGTTTGGCGTGGACAAGATACCTTTCAAGGAGATGTGGCCGGATGATATCTATTGGCTTCCTCTTCTGCTCCAGAAAAAATATTTCCTGGGCTACTTTAAGTTCCGGGGGCAGGAGACTATCTTAGAATACACCCTGAAGGAGGTGGAGAAGATGGAAGAAGGAACGGGAGGAGGATTTCCTGACGGAGGCAGGATAAAGGACATCCTGGCAGGGAAGGAACCACTGCCGGCTGTGTAGCAACGCAATTCTTCTGCCAAACTCAACTGGTTGACTGCTCAATTGGTTGACTGATTGGTTGGTTGACTTTCTAGGACAGGGACGGCTAACGTTACCTGGACCGAGTGCCCGAAGCGCGTATGTGCGCCTATGAATGCATGTGCAAAATGCAATCTGTGTATGCGCCTCCCCATGCGTGCGTGTGCACCCCCCGCACGAGCCTTGTCCCCTGCGTACCTCTCTTCCTGTACACGCTCCACCACCACCCCCCTGTGCATGCACACACACACACCTCCCACCCATGCACAGCAGACCCAAAGACCAGCTGATGGGAGGTGCCTGCACATGCACAGCAAAACTGAACTAGGGCAACGTTTGATGTGCCACCAGAAAGAGTGTGGCATGCCACCTCTGACACGCGTGTATAGGTTCTAGGAGTGGGGAAAAAAACCCTCAAAACTACTTGTTCATATACAGAAATGTGTTCCGTGACCAATAAATACTAAATTACGGAAAAATGTGGTTAAACCAGAAGAAGAGATGTCAGGCTGTTTTCAACGCCATGAAGAAAAAAAAACCCTTTGATCGTACACGTTGCCATAAATGGGTTTCACTTCAAATAAACTTTCAAACTTTTTTAATAAAAGAGTTTTACATTTCTCTTCTTAACAAATAAGATCTTTTTTTTTTTTTGCAACTTTTGGGGCGGGGGGGTTTGCGGGATGTCCAGACCCCCATAAACGTTTACTGAAGTCTTACCAAGTGGGAATAAAGACATTCTGCCGTTTCATAAAGTGCTTTGTTTCTTTTAAAAAAAAAAAAACACAATACTTTTTGCAAAGCGGAGACCCCTTGTAACAAATGTCAGATTAAATTCCAGGAGGCTGGAAGAAGCCCGCCCACCCACCCAACCCCAAACCAAAAAAAAGAAAACACCCCGTGACTTGGAAAAACACACAAAAAAAGACAAAATGTCCTTTCCTGAGAATTTGGCATTCGGTCCCTTCTGGTGGCTCCTTTCGTCCCGGAGCCTTAAATCATCTTGCTAAAAACAAAAACAAAAATAATTGTTCTGTGGTCCCACTTTAAATAGATATTCCCTCCAAATGAACTTCATAGCCTTCTTGTAGAGAAAAAAGTGGCTTTCTTTGTAGCAGTTGTAGCATTTTGTTTTCATCCAACAGAACAAGCTTTCGACAACTGTGATTTATTTATTTTGACTAGACATGAACCAACGAGGATTTCTCCTTTTACTGGAGAGAACTTCAAGGCTGGTAGCCCCCCCGGCCAACTTAACCCCGAGGCTCTGAAGCTAAGGCAGGTTCATTTTGATTAGTAAGGCGATTGTCTGGAGAGGTTTTTAAAACCTATATTGGAATAAGGCAGTGCGTTTAGCTGATCACCATGTTCAGCCAAGCTTTGAAGAGGAACATGAGTGGACAGGAGAAGGAATGTATGTGTCCCCCCATGGATGCTACGAAGTAAGAGATTCTCAGTCTTGGCCCCTTTAAGACTTGTGGACTTCAGCTCCCAGAATTCCCCAGCCAATGTGGCTGGTTGGGGAATTCTGGGAGTTGAAGTCAACCCATCCGCGACTTCTCCTGACTGCCGGCTGCCAGCAGTTTGAGTCTCACCAGGCTCAAGGTTGATTCCGTCTTTCCGGCCTGGGTAAAGTGACGACCCAGATTGTTGGGGGCAAGAGGATGGCTCTGTAAACCGCTTAAAGAGGGCTGTAAAGCACTGTGAAGCGGTATATAAGTCTAAGGGCTATTGCTATCGTCCTTCCTTCCTTTCTGTGGTGGTGCAGTGGTTAGAACGCAGTATTTGCAGGCTAATTCTGCTGGCTGCCAGCAGTTCGATTCTCACCAGGCTCCAGGTTGACTCAACCTTCCATCCTTTTGAGGTGGGTAAAATGAGGACCCGGATTGTTGGGGGAGGCAAGAGGCTGACTCTGTAAACCGCTTAGAGAGGGCTGCGAAGCACTGTAAAGCAGTATATAAGTCTTAAATGCTATGGCTATTAAAGTGGCCAAGGTTGAGAAACATTACTT